AGGCGATGAAATCATTGTTCTTTGAGACTTTACTATTCATACTGACAGGCATATAAAAAACTGGGCATGATGATTAAAGACTGCATGTTTTTTTAGGAAATCTCTTAACAGGGAAGGTAAAATGTAAGACCGAAATCTGAAGGCGCATTAGAATAGAGACAGATGCCTTTCAGAAGCTAAGCAAAGTGATAGGAAACAGGAAAAATGTCGTTAAAAAAAAACAAAGAAAAGAGAGTGCCGAACTGCTATGTAATGTGAATCTTTCGATATGGCACTTAATGTCATAGATGAAGACCAGATCTGAGGTAATCTGAGATGTACTTCTAGAGAAGGATGCAGAGAATATAATGGACGGAGCGCGTAAACAAGGAGAGTGTATTAAGAAAGATGGGGGAAAAAAAGAGAAAATTATGCTCAAAATTAGAAAGAGACAACTCAAATTTTTTGGACAAATAACAAGGAAGCAGGGCTTTGAAGATTTCACACTCACAAGGGTAGGTAATGGGCCACCTACATGACAAGCTTGTGGAACGTCAGTGGAAAGAAGGATAAAAAGATAAACGTTACTAAGAACTATGAAGGATAGGAAGTTGTGGAGAGCCATGATAACATCACAAGGAAGAATAAGTAGTGACAAAAGAAGTAACCATACGGATCTTGAATTTAAAAAAAAATGTGGCAGCTTAAAACTACTGTTATACCTATAATAATCTGAACACTGGGCACGATAAATAAAAGCTACAGGGAAGAACATTAGCAAGATTCCCGACATCTTCTGTTTACAAGAGATTCAAAACATTTCACTGTGTGCAACTGTTCATCTACTCAGGCAAATATTATAAACTAGCAGTAGAGCTCGGCGTTGCCCGGGGATGTAACAGTAAGAGATAGATCAAGTATCCACCATCATAAAGACTGAAAAATAAAATTGACAAAGATTATTGTTTAAGGTTGACGGACACGCATGTCTTAATTAGTTTTTTTTTTTTTTTTACGAATTGGTCAAACCCAAACTCAAACGAAAACATTGTTTTCAATCATTATGAGTCTACCGATTGAATAGAATTTTATTATAAACAATTGTCTTGTTAATGGAATTTTTAAAGCATTCTGAATGTAAAAATAAAGAAAAAATGTGCAAGACAATAAGAAACACTACCTGCCAATAAAAGTGATTTTTTGTTGAAATTGGTTGAAAAATGTAGGAAATCCGCTCCCATATATAAACGAACACACACACACACACACACACACACACACAACCTGGGTTTTATAATAAGTATAACTTGATATGAGTTGTCCCCCTTTCATTCTCGCGATGCCTTTTAATCGTGTTTTCAAATTGATTTTGTGCAAAAACAATTGTGTTTTCTTTCCATTTTTGGCGCTGTCAGAACCACCGCAAGGTAATTTTACGTAGTCCTGTCAAGTTTTGTTGAAATCGGTTGAAAAATGTAGGAAATCCGATCTAATATATAAACGAACAGACACACACAGACACACACAACCTGAGTTTTATAATAAGTATGATGTAAGTAATGTAAACAATACATGTTCAGTATCACTTAATAGGAGAATTTATGCAATTAAAATGCATATATTGACTAACTTGTCTTACCCCAAGTACCAAATAATGACTCTGCAATTGACTGTACTAAGCAGAAAGCAACAACAACAATAAGAATAACAACATAAATAATAATATCCTGTCTAGTACGACAGATGTACTTAGCACTTGCCAGACAAACAGCCGGGCTTGGCCCTTAGGGGCTGACGTATTGTGTATCTTTTTTCATAGGCATATCGCTGTCGACTTAGTTTTGATTAGAGTGCTAGGGTTTATGCCACAGAACTTTATTGAGAAAATCAAAATAAAGTCTAGTATCCCATCGCGTCAAAAGTCTGCGTTGCTTTGCTCGGCAAATATTGTGCGAAAGAAGCTCTCTGAGGTCGTACGACCTGATGAAGATCAAGCATCATGCAAGATTTCTGTTTAAAAACGAAAAATCGCGCGGTAAAAAATAATAATGACAAAAAACAACAACACCAATAATAATAATAATAATAATAATAATATCTAAAAAATGTGGCATATGGGAACATCAACAATCCCTGTTGTAGTTGGAGCCCTTGGAATGGTTGGAAAAGATTCCAGTAGACTCATTGAAGGGATCCTTGGAAGCACATGCCGTAAATAAATACAAAAAATTGTTCTCACGAGTACAGCCCACACCTTACGAAGGGTTTTATCTATGTAAAATATGTATTTTAATTTTTCTTTTTTTTTTAATTGGTCAGTGGAAAATGTCATGATGCCATTTCTGACCTTAGGTATGTGGCTGGGACCCGGAAAGAAATGTATATACACCAGAAATCAGAGGAAATAAAATAAAAATAACAATAATAATAAAATCCTCAGTTTCTTTTCTTAGTTTTCTATTTCTTTTACAAAAATGGCTAGTGGAAAATGTCATGAAACCATTTTTAACATTATATCTCTGGTTGGAACCCGGAAAGAAATATGTCTACAACAAAAATAATAATAATAATAATAACAACAACAACAACAATAATAATAATAATAATAATAATAATAATAATAATAGCAGCTACATATCAGACCTGTAAAAGATTAATTTGTGTGGAATTGTACATATCATCCTCAAAACCTTTTCCATCTCAAGGAAACATCCCAAATGTTCATATATAACTGTCAATGTGCCCTTTTTACTCATAGACCTCGGAGGGGACTTGGTAATTAGGCACTTAAAATGATTCTCGAGTAAGAAGATGGCGCACAATAATAATAATAATAATAATAATAATAATAATAATAATCTTCAGAAGAAACCCCAGAGGTGGCAGATTCGGAATCATGGAGGTTGTTTAGGAACTGGTTCTTGAAGAACGAAAAGAGAAAGTTTTAAAACTACTTTCCCTCAAGTCCTGCATTGATAGAGCAACTGATTTACTCTTGTGTAGACTTCGTGGAAACGTTACTGAAAGTCTGTAACACATTGTCAGTGATTGCTCTTATCTGGCACAGAAAGGAAGCAGACGACGCCATAATAAAGTACCCCTCAGAATACAAGTGAAACTATAGAGGAAATATGACCTCGAGTGGGCAGGGAAGTGGTACAAATATTCACTACGGTCAGTAGCCGAGAATGAGCAAATAAAATTCATGTGGGTTACGACCATCTTCAAAGTCAAGCGCCTGGAGAGCAATCGCCCTGACGTCATACTTGAGAACAAGAAATGCCGCGAATGAATCCTGATAGACGTTGCTATACCTTGGGATAAAAAAAAACATCACAAAGGTGGATCAGGCAAAAAACAGAGTTACCAAGACTTGGTAGAACCAGATCATAGAAATGAATCAAACAGCTGTTCATGTTGTCTTTTGTAGTTTGGCGCACTTAGGACTATTTACAAGGAATCTTTCTGCCTCACAGGAAGCCTTAGGGATACCTGGCAAGTGCCCAGGTAGTAGCGCTGCTTGGACCAGTTCATGTTCTAAGGGAAGTGTTGTGCCTCTAAGCTACGGTTAGAAAGTGCGTTATGTCTATCATCATCCGGCCAAAACTGTCCAAATAATCAAATAATAATAATAACGACTGAAGCTTCAAAACACTGAAAAAAGAAAGCAAAGACAAATGCAACCGACCAGATACAGAACCATGGCAAGATAAACTGCTTCATGGCCAATACTCTGCCCGTACCAAACAAGCTGACGTAGACAAAACCCGTACCCGTGTTTTATCCTTGCTGCACAGAACCAATGCTTGTTAACTAGGAATTATCAAGCACATATACTAAAATATTTTGTTCAGCCCAAAATGCAGTTTCTGTGATAAATATCCAGAAACAATTGATCATCTTGTATCAGGTTGCACGATATTGGCACTCACTGAGTATAAAACCCGGCATGACAAAATGGGCCAATATCTGCACTGGAAAATTTGCAATTTCTACGGGAAGGAAACTTAAAGAAACTGGTACGAACACCATTCAGACCCGGTTACGGAGATAGGATCTGTTACAATTCTGTGGGACTACACAGTACACACTGACAGAACAATCAAAGCCAACCGCCCAGACATTGTTATTAAAGACCACAAACAAAAAAAGTGCGTCCTTATTGATATGACAGTCCCTGCAGACTGCAATGTATCTTTGAAGATATTCGAAAAGCTGTCAAAATACAAGGACCTTGAAATCGAAATCTCAAAAATGTGGTTCATGGGAACATCCCTGTTGTAGTTGGAACCCTAGGATTGGTTGGAGAAGATTCCAGTAGACTAATTAAAGAGGTTCCTGGAAGCCCATGCCTTAAAGAAATACAAAAAGAATTGTTATCACAAGTACAGCCCACACTTTACAAAGGGCCTTATCTATCTAAATTGTTTTTTTTTTTGTCAGTGGAAAGTGTCATGATACCATTTCTAACCTTAGGTCTCTGGGCGGGACCCGAAAAGAAATGTGTACAAGCCAGAAATCAAAGGAAATAAAAACAATAATAATAATAATAAATCAAATCAAAATAATAACAACAACAACAACAACAATAATAATAATAACAACAACAACAGCAAAACAGAGAAAAACAGAATTCTAATTATCCACAGTAAGGAAGCAAAATAGACCAGTATAATTAGAGGGATAAAAATTAATACTGTTATAAAATGATATTATTCCAAAATATTATTAAAGTAATTATAAAAAACCTGACATGACGTTGATGATAACGGTTGCAGCAGAAATAACCATATTAAAATTTCTCCAACTAATTCTTGAAAAATAAATGCTCGTTATTAACAATATTAACGTCAACAGCAGCCATCTTAATATATTTATAGGAGGATTTTAATAATTCCCACATAAAAACGAAAAAAGAAAAATTAATTACAGCCAATCAGAAAACCAATCACAATAAAAACTTACTTCAAACTTGAAAAAAAAAGTAACAATTAGAACTCATCAGTTGTTCTGGAAATTACAAAGAGCAAAGCCGGTAGGCAAGCGAGCAGTTTGAAAAAACAATATGGCGGAGAAAGAATGTTTTTAAAGAAAGAGTATTGGTTTTGGAAGGGAAGATATAACGGCCGCTTGTCGACATGAACAGATGAGAACATTAGCGTGAGGAGATTAGCAAGTAAAACGTAAATAGAGAAAAAAAAGGACAACAAATAACTGGAAGAAAAAAATTAATCGCAATAAGAGGATTTACATATCTGGGATATAACAGAGAAATTAAAAAAATATAATCACTGGCAGAAATTAAGGGCCACATTAAGAAGGTGGAAAAATAAGAAGGGAATTAAATGAATTACAGAAAACATCAAAACAAAATTATTACAACTATTGCTACTAATACTAGCAGCAGTTGGGATTATAAAAATAAAGAAGCAAAAATCCATAACAAACAAAAAAAATTTGTAATAACAAATAAAAAAATAACAAATTTAATAACAAATAAAAAAAAATTGTAAAAATGAGAAAAGAGAGCTTAGAAAATTTGACACTCACAGAATATATTAAAGGAAAAACGGACAGAGAGAAGCAATGCAAAACCTACCTAACGAATTTATGTAAATGGATGGCAGAAGTAGTTTTTGGGGGGGTTTTTTAAGCGTTTCACCCCCAAGCAAGGCGGGAAGCCACTAGGACGCAAGGGGTTACAGAAAATTTGGAGCAAGATCAGATAGGAGTGATAGAAGAAAGGATGAGGAGAAAGGTAGTGGATAGATCAAGGCAACTGGAGATGTCGATTGACATTACATTTGAATAGCTGGAGATTATAGCTCTCAGGGAAACTGGAATAGGGAAGGGAGTTCCACAGGCGAGATGTGCGAGACATGAAGCTATTAGAGTAGAAGAGACGGCTACATTTAGGAGTTTCGACAGTGAAGGGGTGAGAGCGGGATGCCAGCCTCGTCGGGCGCTTGAACTCATGAAGTCTGGGAACCAGCGAATGCAGCTCCTCGGAGCAATTGCCATGAAAGTATTTGTAAAACAGACAGAGAGAGGCGACGGCCCGTCTGTAGACGAGATGCCAGATCAGGGCCAATTATATTTCATATCCGCCTCTGGAGCCTATCAAGAACCCCGAGGCAAACAGAAGGGGCTCCAGACCATATATAGCAGCGATACCCCATGCAAGGGCGATTTGTTGATTTGTAGATCTGGAGGATCGATTCCGGGGAGCAAAATTTCCTGGCGCGGCACAGGGAGCCAACTTTCCTTGCGGTGGACGAAGCAATTGACTCAATGTATTTGTTCCATCTCAGGTCAGCTGTCAACGTGAGACCGAGCAGCCGCAGAGAGGTGCTCTTGAGCGTCAGACATGCGGAGAGCCATGATTGCAAAAGTTCTGATAGGGCATGTAGAAGTATAAGCTTTACTTCTATCAGCATAAGATTTATTTAGCCATATCAAAAGCAACTCGTGACACATTTTGCTGCAAACACGACTTAATAAATGGCATGTCACATAGAAGAAGAATGACAGTGTGTTACGCACAAATTTTCTTAGCTATGGATATACAACATGGTAGATTGAATGGTCAACCCGGCTGGCAACGAAATCAAGAAAAGAAAAACTTAAGGAATTAGCACATATGCTAAGCAACAAAAATCTCCTAAGCCGGACAAGCTTAGAGATTAATACAATATGAGAAGCAGTGATAAGGAGTGCAAGAGAAAAGCAATAATAACTAACAAAATTGTAATATGAGCTCTGGTAAAAAAAAATTATTACAGGGACATTACGTTTATAAGTCCCAAAAGTTCCTATACAGATGTCCACAAAAGGCACATAGCCCGTTGGATAAAATCGCTAGTTGGATCCAGTGACTTGACCATAAAGTTGTGAGTTCAATACTTGACTACTGCAGTGAACAAAAATTTGGAATGTTGAGTTAAAGTGAGACACCGAGAGGCATGGCATGTGGAACTAGAACAATCTACCCCGGTGGACGAAATAAAAGTTTGAATTCAAAATTTCACTCACCAAAAGGAGGCCAGAGCTTGAATATGACGATAAAGATGAGGACAAAAGTCTGAACAATTTAAATAATTACAATACTTCATCTCAGATATATATATATATATATATATATATATATATATATATATATATATATATAGGCATCTCTTCAGTCAAGCATGTTTGGTTAAATAATCTAGAAATATTAAGTCTATTTATTTATATTTTAATCCTCTCAAATTCATGGATCAATTTCTTAGTGCTGTTACAAGACTGAGTAAGAAAGACGCCGTAGTTTTGGTTATTTCTTTTATTTTCTCAACTACTTCCAATCTCAACCAAGATTATTTTCAAGGATCAACTACTAAGGCAAAAATGAATGTGATTGATATTTGTAATTTTTTTGTAAATGCGCATGAAAGCGCTCCGATATAGTCAATTTACTTTAAAAATATGTAAAGGAGGTAACCTAGTTTCATTTTCTTTTTATTATTAATGTTTTTAAAATACTCAAATTTCCTTTTTTTTTATTTGAAAATAAAAATGTACTTTATTGATACCAGCACTCAATGTGCGATAACTTATATATATATATATATATATATATATATATATATATAAATATAGATATATAACTAGACTCGTTTCGAAAAACCCTCGAATTTTGATTTGCTAATCAAATCAATCTCGAGGGAAAAAAAGGTTTCCTGACGATCCGTTTAGGTGAAACCTAGGTAGGTTTGTTTGGCTCACTAGGTGTATCTATCTATCTATATATATATATATATATATATATATATATATATGTGTGTGTGTGTGTGTGTGTGTGTGTGTGTGTGTGCGCGCACTGCGTATGCGTGCATGTGTGAGTTAAAGATTAAATGCAGGTCAAATATATCCGACAGAATAATAGAATAAAGAACAAACGCTCTCTATCTCTCTTGTAGGAAAATAGAAGGTAAATACACGTAAATAACTTCTTTTTTTATTTTGCTGTTATTTTTTTTTTGTTTTGTTTTGTCCTTTCAAACGCTGAGAACTTTATCGCACATCTTATATCATTTCTATTCAAAGTCTAATCGACTTTACAAAAATGTTATTTTTATTACTTAAACTTTGGTGAAGTAAATAAATATTTAATAGTGTAAGTTTTTTTTTTGTTTTGTTTTAATTTTGTTATGTTTTTTTGTACACGCGCCTTTGAGAAACGTGTATTTTTGCGCCAGACGGGTTTGTAAAAATATTTTTTTTTTTATCTCTGTGAATATCTTGTTCAGACAATAGTATTCTCAGCATCCTTATGTAGAACCACATTTCTATTGGCTCAGGTCTCTTAATCCTCTGTGAGATTTCCTAGAATTCGAAGTTATATAAGAGGACCGATATTACCGATATATAGTACACTTTTCTTTGTTATTTATGTGATTTTTCTGTTTTTTAATACTTTGCTTAGCTTTTAGAAGACTTTTTTCCCGTATGCCATATATAATAATATTCGATTTATTCACAGATCTTTTCAAAATCACTTCACTACTTAGGCAGACTCTGTATGTTGGAAAATATAATAGAAAAGAATTTGTGCTTGGTGCGTCATAAATACTTACCCATTATTTAAACATCAAAATTTAACCATTATTTAAACATAAATTGAAACATACCTATTCGTAAAAATAGTTTAATATTTTGGATAAGACTACCTAACATTATTCTATTTTATTGGTTACAGTTTAATTAAACATGGCAGCTTAAAAAACCTGATCAATTTATCCCACTGAAAATGGCTGGTAAGTAGAATTGGCGTAAATGATAAAACAATTGAATGTTTGCTGAAAAATTGTTTTTAATTTGGGAAAAGTTTCAAGAATAGCAAAGAACCTCGGAAAATCCTACAACAGGTAGATACCGTTCAGATCCTGCCAGGACAGTACTTGAAGCCATCAAGAAGTTGAAGATAAATCCACGAAGCATGAAGACGATGGCAAACGGGCAAGATATTCCAGTTAAGCCTCTAAGATGAAAGATGATTTAGGGCTAAAACGATATAAGAATTTTAAAAGGCAGCTGCTCTCAAAGGCCTGCAAGCAAAAAGCATTGACAGAGAGAAGAAAATATTAAAGGAAACGCAACATACAGCAGACAGATTCTTCATTTGATCGGACAATAAGTTTTTCAGTGTGGAGGCTGTGGTCAAAACGACAGGGTTTACACCATTTTCTCAGGAAACATTACCAAAGGTTCCAGGACCCTTTTTAAGAAACAGAACGCAATTGGTGTTGTGGCTTGGGTTATTGTAGTCGTTGGTGTTCATTGAAGAAGGCGTGAAAGTAAATAGTTGTGTTTACTAGCAAATGTTGGAGAGATATGTCTTGCCCTGGTTGTCATCTACATTTGGAAGTCGCTATATATTCACTCAAGATCCTGCACACAGTGCCAATTTGACTCAGAACTTGGATTTTTCCATGGATTTTTAAAAAAGTAAATTTATCCTCCATAAAGCCCTGATATTAATTTTGTAGACTTTGTATTGTGGGGACCTACCTACAAATGGACTCTTCCACACCTATATAATATGGCTACCAACTCTGAGTAGAGAAAGTCACCGAGTAAGAGTCACCGAGTAGAGACACCGAGTGAGTGAGTGAATGAGTGAGTCAGGACACCAGTGAGAGAAAGTACTCTCCAGTCCACATTTACCTTTGTACTATATTTCCGAGAATATACTATTTAACCTTATATCAGAGTCCGTGTTATCTTTCTATGGTTCTACACCACAACACTTTGTCATATGGCCCACATTAGAGGACAATGGTTCACGTATCTCATACTAAAGTGTGTCAGACACTTATGACGTCGTAGTACAATTTGAGTGAAAAGGTCATGAAAAAGTAATGCACTGCAGTTGAAAAGAGATTAACCCTTTGAGCCCTTAACTATTTGAACCCTTCTGCCTGAGCTCCTGAGTCAAAATTTGCAAATAATTGGTATGTAATGTTTCACGGTAGATATAAAAATAGTTTATAAGTGTTTACCCACCTTTCAACAGGTAACTGGGCATTACGTCATTTTTCTCTGCCACCGGTAAAGCGGTGGCCAGGGCTCAAAGGGTAAAGGACTTAAGTCAAAGCAAAGGTAGCTATTCTGAATTATA